CGCAACATTGTCCTGTGTTGCCTGGACGGTGTCCTGCGAATCGGGACGCTGTGGTGATGAACGGGCATGAATTCTTCATTGCATTACGCCTTTTAACTACTTTCTCCTGACTTGAAAATTTACATTGAAACAGAACTGTGCGGGATAATATGTAGTATTCTGTTACACTGCCATCTGACAATTTATCATACAATTAGCCTCCCTGCCTCTATAATTGCAAGGAGTATCAGAGACTAATTATCGGTATATGGTCTCTGGCAATATGTACCAACGGTGACCACCTACAAAGATAAGTCGTGACAGCCAGCAAGTTATAATTATTCGGTTGCAGTTTACCGATTTTTGTTTTAGTATTCGTTGGTTATATTTGACGTGTGGCTGTTTCTTCAACATTCTCTTTTCTAATAATTTTGACAGGATGCGACAAGTGCGTTGTCGTGGATCGATAACGTACTGGAAACAATCCGCGTAGTCACGTCACGTGAGCGTAGAATGGCAAATTTGAGCAAGTTGAAAACAATCTGCGTAGAACTCTACTGGTAGAATTCATTGCTTCCACTAGGAGCCACGTGCACAGCGCCATACTCTAACACGCGAGAGTTGGCCAATGAAAGCTCGACAAATAGAAATTCCAGACCAAGCTGAAGCTCGATTGACAATGTCAATCAAGCAAAGGGAGGCGCTTGATGAAATCATTCTCTCGCAGTAAATTCTGATGTCAAATAACGACAGATTCTAGACGGTAAAACGATGGTTAGAAAGCGTAAAAAACGTCGTTTTTTCGTCCATTGCCATATACGGGAAAAACGACGTTTTCGTGTTGGCAGTGACCATTACCGGTCCTCACAAGCGGCTGGAACAGGCAACTGCACTCATTTACTGTGGAAAGACATTGTTTATCAAATTCAGTATGCAGGGTAATCCCATAGTAGTCAAAAACTGGAAGTAAGATGGTGTAACGGAATGAACTGAAACAAATATTGTTCATATTGTTTTAAACATGCCTGTGTTGATTAACATTTTTGAAATATATTATATTGTAAATTAAATTTGACGAACATAAAGTTTGCTGCCGTATTGATGCATCGCATCGAAGGTTTCTTGTTTTCATATACATGTACTGTATGTGTATTGGGCCTGGTTTTGTGTGTTCCGCAGTCATAGTGCAGATTCGCCCGTCATGCCGAAGTCCCGGGTTCGATTCCCCAATATGGGTACAATGTGTGAAGCCCATTTCTGGTGTACCCCCGTCGTGATATTGCTGAAATATTGCTAAAAACGGTGTGAAGCTATACTCACTCACATTGCAGAAGTATTGCTATTAGGGGCGTAATACCATACACATGCACTCATTGAGTGATATTTTTAACATTTTCACAACCTCTGATATAAGTGAGTGAGTGAGTGAGTATGGTTTTACGCCGCTTTGAGCATTTTTTCCAGCATTATCACGGCGACGAGCGAACGCTTTAACCACTAGGCTACCCGACCGCCCCCTTCTGATATAACCATTGATGTGTAACTTATGCTTTTAGAATATAAACTTAACTTATTAAGATCTCAAGCTCTCTCTTGTCCCTAAAAGTTAAAGTACACTCTTCAACTTGTTTTCTGTTATGCAACGCATACTTTGACTATTGTATTAACCGCATCTCTGGATTTTGTAATTATCCATAAATAGATATTTGTAAATACCTACTGACAATGTCTGCGAAAGAAGTACTTTTCTATAAACATTAGCTTCCACGTTGATGCGGCTGTCAAGTCGTCTGTTTCAGTCACACGTGGTTATTGTGATTTGACCAATCCGAATCTATTTAAGGCATTTGTGTACAATTGCTGTCGAAAGGTGCGATTCACATGCATCATGCGTGTTCAGTAGGGCTACGTGTACGGAGCAGAAACACACATATTAGCGAAATTTCTATTTCTAGGAACTTTGAGGCAATAGAATAATGTAAGGCGGGATGTTTTGTAGTTGGGGGACGATGATAATCTATTAATTAATTTTGTATGGCCTAAAGTAGCTACTATGGTGTCGTGTAAAAACATAGGACAATCTCATTTTAGCCGAATGCTACAAATTGGTCTTTGAGAATTTTGTTTTGATGAATATGCTAGCCGTGTATAATATTGCCTCATGGAGAAAATCACTGGCCAGTGATTATTCCCCATAATTGACAGTGCAGTCGCGAGTATCTGCAATACGGCTGATGTGGCTTTAAGCAATATTTACTCTCTCACTGACAGTGATATTTTGTTTCCAGCTTCCTCACACTTTAATGTTTTCACTATCACTGCACATTCATGTACACAATTTCTTTTGTTAAATTATATTGAGCATGTTGAGGGTTTTAATTTAAAGTACATAGGAAACTGTACCAAAGGGAGAGGACTCTGGTCTATTCTACATAGGACTTTGTGTATGTAAATTTCATGATAGCTCAAGCTCAAGTCATAGGTTTGCTAAATGCTTCTTGGAGAATGAAAAGCATGAAAGAAGCATGACCACCGGACTACTAACGTGCGCATGCGCCTTGACATTATGATATTACGCATGCGCACGGAGAGCGTCTAAAAAGCGAGAACACGAGAACGCGAGATCGCGAGAACGCGAGATAATGAAATGACGTTGAACCCAATTTCACCTAACCCCAATCTCAATCTTGGTTTCTTCTTTTGAATAATGTGTTGCGGACGCACCTACAAATTCTCTCCAGCGACAGTTCGACGGGTCCCCATATTGCCTTCCACCGGTAAGCATGTTCTATTTCAACAGTGACAATTTCCGTTTCGAGACTTGGTCAGAGATATTCACCTTGTCCTTACAGTAGGAGCAGAAACATTTAACACCAATTCACGGCAATTACCTAGGGGAAACAAAGAAGGGCAAACAGAGTGAAAGAAATCACTAACAGTGCATTGTTCTCGAAGCTAATTGCTCCGTCAGTACGACTTGACTTATCTGATCTGCACACTTCTCACACTGATATCTGATGACCGACCGGTCACACCCCAGCTCTCAGTCATCTCATATATATTCAAGTGATTCAAAGATACCGTGTATATTCAAATGAAAGCGACAAACCTTTCCATAATCACACGAATGTCTCATCATAAGAGTTCTTTATGTCATTCCTTCCTTATCATAAGCATTGGTTCATGAATGACTATCAAATAGTGATGATACCAACTATTCGCGACAAGGTGAGCGTATCCTGCCCAACCGATGGTACCCGTCACAAACACATGGAGAGGCAAGTCAATTGTCAATGCATCTGATACAAAACGTCAAGTCATTGGTGGTATTTGTACTTCCAGCCACACTAACAAAACATACGGCGTCCAAAACAGTGACACCATGTACGACCCTCACGAGACACCGGGGAGGCTATAGAGATGACACAAGGTGTCCGTGGACAAAGAAATCTGACCTACTGGTGACTTCCGTTGGGAACAAGGGTCAAGGTCACGTCAGACATAATAAAGTAAGCGTTTCCGGCATGTGTACAAACATGCACGCAAGAATACACAAAACAATTCAGATATCATAGAAGTAAGCAGTGATTATTTATACTCATAGTATTGGTGTTTTATAGAGTAAGAACACTCCTCACACGTAAGCCAGCGCGGAAACAGTCTCGTTACATGTTTATGCTACTCGTTGAAAACAATAGAAAATGGCAGAATCAACAACCGTCAGAATATCTTAGTAATAAATCGTGTCCATGGTGGGTCCGACATATTTCTGCTGTTTTCGCCCGTATACCCGAGAAGAGTGAGGTGTGCTCATGTTTGAGTGAGTGAGTGAACATGGTTTTTACTCCGCCTTTAGCAAAATTCAAACAATATCACGGCGGGGGACACCAGAAATGGGCTTCACACATTCGGGAATCGAACCCGGGTCTTCGCGCGTGACGAGCGAACGCTTTAACCACTAGGCTACCCGACCGCACCCTGCTGCATGTTAGCGAGATATTTTATCGAAAGGCGCTACCGCCTGTGTTGTTGAGAGGAGCATTTTGTATTTGGGTCGAAGTGATCGTGTTGGCTGGTAAGGAGGTATGACTCGGAGAGATTGGTTGGAGCTTGATTGTTATAGCATTGGTAGGCAAGAGGGAGTTTAACTTGAATTTGATTCGTGATTAAACGGACAAGACATGGAGTCGTTTGAGAACTGGTGTGACGTGGTAAAACTTTCTGGTTTTGGTAATTATTCTGACTGAAGTATTCTGCATCTGCTGTAAAGGATGATTCTGATCTGGTTGATGTTACTGAGGCCGTTACATTAGCCCAATCTGGATGTAACGAGAGCTGTCGTTTTCTGTCGATCTGAGGATCTGTGGAGCTATGGAGCTTGGGATCTGGGGTTTAGGTGATCTGGGGGATTTGGCGTTCTGGGGCATCTGGGCATCTGGTGTTCTGGGGGATCTATAGATCTGGGGACTGGGGTTCTACTCCGGTTTCTCCCGCACGTGATTGCCCACACAACCTCGGAGTCTTTGCTTTATAGTTCCCCTGATAGTTCATATGTACTTTTGATTAATCACATCCGATTCGTGTGGTTGCACCACGATTAATATCACAATTGAGGCTGTCAAATTAGTGCCAACTATGCAGCTTCGTGTTGAATCGTAAAGGATATGTGCCAAAATCTCACTGCACTTGACTTCTGTGCCCAGTGCACCGCTCAGTTAGCACTCCAAGTTGAAACGTAATTCTCCCGAACCAAATTTAGGGATATCCATTTGATACCTTGCCCTAATCCGCCTATTTCAGTACGTGACCACATTATCTAAACAAGGCAACCTTGTACATATTGTCACTCAACAGTGTCATGTGTAAAACAACGGAAATCTATTTCACGCTTTTCTAGAGCATATCAAGCCATGTGCCAGACAAACACACCATCTGTTGTCATCCAGATAACCCCTTACGTGACAGACCGTGAAAAAACCTTCAACGTTGAAACAAAATGTCGATATTTCACTGTGACTTACCGTGCATTTCCCGACCCGAGCTACGTGTAGCCAACCACCCTGATAAAGGAGACCTAGATATCTGGGTTGATAAGATACGCGAGACAACAGCGAACGACCCAGACCGCGGGACACGCAAACTGCCAAGGGAGCCTCGAACACCGCGTTTACATGCATACTTTTATAATGGTTTAGTGTTAGAATCACTCGATCAGTTAGCACTTGTTCGGAAGATAAGCGCGTATTGTATATGAGTGAGTGAATTAAGAATTATGATTGGGTCCGACATATTTCTACTGTTTCACGTCCGTGTCCCCGAGGAGAGGGAGACATTGTTTGTCGTGTAAAACTGCACTAACTAATATTCCAGGTATATGACGGCAGTCTGTAAAAAATCGAGTCTGGACCGGACAATTAGGATTCGATGATATGCATCAACCAAGTCACCAGGCGTGAGTGGTTAGCCCCGTGGTTAAAGTTACATCTATCTGGACCTAAAGTTACATCTATCTGGACCGAAAGTTACATCTGCCTTGACTTAAAGTAACATCTGGCTTGTTCTTAAGTAAAAGCGTTCGCTCGTCACGCCGAAGACCCGGGCTCGATTCCCGAGACGGGTACAAAGTGTAAAGTTCATTTCCGATTTGCCCCGCCGTGATATTGCTAGAATATTGCCAAAAGGAGAATAACACCATACTCACTCACTCACTCACTCACTCACTCACTCACTCACTCACTCACTCACTCACTCACCGTATCCCGTTACTCGCCGCTTACGACAAGCATGGGTTGCTGTAGATCAAGTCTAACCCGGATCTTCGCGGGTTGAGATGTTGAGTAGGCCAAGTGGTTAAAGTGTTCGATATTCACACCGAAAATTGGTTTTGATTAACTGTAGCAAGTGCATGTCTAGAAGCATCCCATGTTAAATACAGATTTCATATTTGAAGTCCCCTAAATTACTAATAAATACAGAATAATGTTCACATCTATCTGGAGCTAGAGTTACATATTCCTGGACCTAAAGTTACATCTAACTGGACCTAAAGTAACATCTACCTGGACCTATAGTTACATCTGCCTTGACCTAAAGTTACATCTACATGGACCTATAATTACATCTGCCTTGACCTAAAGTAACATCTACCTGGACCTAAAGTTACATCTAACTGGACCTAAAGTAACATCTACCTGGACCTAAAGTTACATCTACCTGGACCTATAATTACATCTGCCTTGACCTAAAGTAACATCTAACTGGACCTAAAGTTACATCTAACTGGACCTAAAGTAACATCTACCTGGACCTATAGTTACATCTGCCTTGACCTAAAGTTACATCTACCTGGACCTATAATTACATCTGCCTTGACCTAAAGTTACATCTACCTGGACCTATAATTACATCTGCCTGAACCTATAATTACATCTACCTGGACCTATAATTACATCTACCTGGACCTATAATTACATCTGCCTTGACCTAAAGTAACATCTACCTGGACCTAAAGTTACATCTACCTGGACCTATAATTACATCTACCTGGACCTATAATTACATCTACCTGGACCTATAATTACATCTACCTGGACCTAAAATTACATCTGCCTTGACCTAACGAAACATCTATCTGGACCTATAGTTACCTATTACTTGACCTAAAGTTACATCTACCTGGACCTATAGTTACATCGAGTTAAACGCAGCTTGATATGAGGGATGATACTTGCTAATTATGTCCAAGATGCAACAACCTTCTCAGAAACATTTAACAGCATTGAACATTCATATGTAAATGCTTTTCTTTTCTGTCATTACTTTTGTTTTAACGTCAAGGACATGTAGTACGTTGAACATAGAGGGGGTACGTGTGAAGCCGAGAGAGCTGATAGTGAATGAGTGAGTGAGTAGGGTTTAACACCGCTTTTAACATTATTCATGTCATATCGCGGCGTTTCAGCTTGGGTTACTGGCGTGTCCAAGGGACGCAACTCTATATTGCGAATTGCGGCGCCTCAGACGATTGGGCCACCTGGTGGCTAATGAGTACAGTGTGTAATGTAGTACAGCAAAGGGTAAAATGTATAGTTTGCTGTCACAAAATACATGTGCATGCTTGGTAACTTCTCGCGACCCTTACAAACAGCAATACATGTCATACATGCACATTTCATCTGCATGGAGGCCATGAACAACTGTACACTTTAAAGGCCACGTCAACAACGTTACACGACGGCAGCAGAAGCTGCCAGAGACATTTGAGTAACGTAGACGTCCATGGCGTCGGTGAAAGTCTTGGAGAGTTACGACATCCTCCACGGTGTCTGCAGACCTTCAATGGAAGAGTATTGGAACTGCCTTACTCAGACCACAACATGCTCTGTGGGGTAGCATAGTGCTCGTCAAGACGAAGACCCTGGTTCGATTCCTCCCGTGGATACAATGTGTGAAGCTCATTACTAGTGTCCCCGGCCGTGATATTGCTGTTATGTTTCTAAACGCGGCGTAAAATCAAACTCACTCACTCATGCCTCAATCGTAATTCAGTTGGTGTCAACAAACTGGCTTTCGTTGATTAAACTCTCAAACATTCGTGTAATTGCGTCTCGTTTCGACATATCCCGTGAAGAGCCGGGTTAGAATTGTTCTTCAGCAACCCATGCTTGTCGTAAAAGCGACGATGCTTGTCGTATGAGGCGACTAACGGGATCGGGTGGTCATGGTTGATCCATGTCATCGTATCCCAATTTCGTGGATCGATGCTCATGATGTCAATCACTGGAATGTCTGGTCCAGACTTTACTTTTTACAGACCGCCGTCATATAGCTTGAATATTGCTGAGTGCGGCGTTAAACAACCAACCAACCAACCATTCGGCGTGGCTGCCGATACGCGTGCTTGCCTATGGGGAACACCGATTTATATCAGCCAGGATTGTCATATCACACGCCAATATCGTCGTCCTTAGAATTTATTGATTATGCGTCTGCGCACTGACCTCATTTATCCGTTTCAATGTCTGTATATCACGAACGTGTTCGTGCGTCTTATCTGCATTTCAAGGGTCTAATCTGTGTTTCCTGTGTTGCTGTAACTGCGACTTACCCCTGTCACACTGACTCACCACAAGGTGGTCTTAACGCCAGCGTCAGCCTTTACATGAAGGGCGACAGGTTAGCCCAGTGGTTAAAGTGTTCGCTCGTCACGCCGAAGACTTCGTTTCTATTCTGAAATTGGGGACAATTTGTTAAACCCATTTCCGGTGTCCCCAAACCTGGGGTTGCTTGAGTGTTTGCTGAAACGCCGGGAACCCCAATTCACTCACGCCGTCTCAAAGATGAAATTCGACCCGATAATGACCCCGTTGAGTCAATACCTACCATATGAAAATAACTGATAATAAGAACGGATGTCTTCCCGAGTGCCTAAGGATTCACCTGCCAATTTAAACTAAAGACTTGTGGCACTCACCAAAAGCCATCTTTCTTGGCCTCGAATTCCATCAGTCAATACAATTTCTTTGGTTGAGGCGGTTAAAAGTGATTGAGTGAGTGAGTGTTGTTTAACACCACATTCAGCATTCTTCACACAAAGCAGAAATATCAAATCTGGTGACTGAAAGCATAACAACCACTATCCAGACCACCCAGTCAATCAAGCCAATCCCTCCAAAAAGCAAGAGAGTGCTTGTGACCTATTCTAACGTTATGTTCTGTATAGTGACGTCGACCTTCACCTTCAGTGACCCCTAGGTAGCCCAGGGCAAAGGTCACCAATTCTTTGTATGAGCGTATGAGGCGACGGATGAGTAACGGGAGTTTGAACTGTTAACCTGTCTTAGTGTCAACAATCCCTGATGGCCTGGATTGTTGCTCATGTTGTCAACCACCTGCCCCCCCCCTCGCATTATTGATATTTTCTGGCCGCCGTCATATAGCGGTAATATTACTGGTTGCGGCGTTAAACAATATTCACTCCTGCCTGGTGTTATGCTTTGTTGACTCATTTTAAGGGTTTGTCAAAGTGATTCTGATAGAAAAATCCACTTAATTAGCGATTTAATTTGTTTTTGACAAAATTGGATTTGTAGGGTGTCATCGGCGCGTTCTGTCCGTCGTGTGTGACATGACCGTCCCCATCCTTACCTTGTTCCCTTGTAATGGAATGTGGCTTGTTCCATGAGATACGGCCACCTGATCGGTACAGTGCTGAAAATAATGTAAGCCTAGATCAATCACTGATAAGTTGCGATGAAGGATGGGTGCGTTTTATAGGAATCAGATGACAGCGTTCTTAAACCTTCCAAGTCAAGCTGACGATATTTGGCAGCACACATGTAGTGGTGCGACACATGAAACCATATCTGAAACACTCTCTTATGACGTCGATAAAAAGAAAGGATTGAAACGACAGGGTGGAAAATATATGCAACATCCACATTTTTCTCCATCCAGAACCGTCGGCTTACATTCAGTATCGAAATAATCTTTTGACCTTCCATCAAAGAGACACAGGTACATCTAATACCTTTCGCGTACAGAGAGTTGGGAACACAACATACCTAGCCCATATAGAGAGTTGGGTACACCACATACCTAGCCCATATAGAGAGTTGGGTACACCACATACCTTGCCCATATATAGAGTTGGGTACACCACATACCTTGTCCATATAGAGAGATGGGTACACCACATACCTTGTCCATATAAAGAGTTTGGTACTCCACACACCTTGCCCATATATAGAGTTGGGTACACCACATACCTTGTCCAAATAGAGAGATGGGTACACCACATACCTAGCCCATATAGAGAGATGGGTACACCACATACCTAGCCCATATAGAGAGTTGGGTACAACACATACCTTGTCCATATAGAGAGATGGGTACACCACATACCTAGCCCATATAGAGAGATGGGTACACCACATACCTTGCCCATATATAGAGTTGGGTACACCACATACCTTGTCCATAGAGAGAGATGGGTACACCACATACCTTGTCCATATAAAGAGTTTGGTACTCCACACACCTTGCCCATATAGAGAGTTGGGTACACCACATACCTTGCTCATATAGAGAGTTAGGTACACCACATACCTTGCCCATATAGAGACT